AAGGGGAGGGGAGGGGAGGGGAGGGGAGAGGAGGATCTCATTTCAGAGCTTGAACATCACCCCATTGTTCTAAAGTGTAAAATACCACATCTTGTAAGCTATGTGGAAAATCCTACAGAGTACGCTGCACCAACAAAGCAATCAATTCTACTAGAGAAGGTAGCAATGTAATTCAGCCAAAGCCATGTCAAATGATCAGAGATTACTGCTTCCAAGATAATGTTAATATGTATGAACAATCAGAGAATCATTATCTTACTGAGACTGCCATGTGAAAGAGTCAAGCAAAGGTCATGCATTCATATCACTTCCATATATCTAATCTTCATGGAGGCCAGTCTATTTATATAAACTAGTTCTCAAGGGAAGCCAGCACAGCATAGTGGAAAACTCAAACTCAGGAGTTTGACACATATGTGTTGACCCAGCTCCAGCTATTTATAAGCTATCAGACCTAAGGCTGTGCCTTTAACCCATCAGAAACTCAGTCATTTTTCTTAAAATGGGGAGTGAATAGTAAACATACACTAGGAACCTAATATAAACACAGTAGGTGGGAAAACAAATGTTAGTTCCCAATCCTTTCCAAAATCCAGTTCAGTGCAAAGTCCTGATTTATATGAACTAGCAAATATAGTACAGCCATCATGACTGAAAAAAACTCTCTCCTAGGTCTGCTCCCAACAGCAAGCCATGAGCTAACTGGTTTTAACACCAACCAGAATCTAAAGAAATTTGCTACAAGATCTACCGCTCCATTTGTCTGAGTACTGGCTTAAGAACACACTTGAACTTTGATTATGCTGAGCACTATATCCCAAGATATTCACTTACCATTATCTAAGGATTACCTTCTATACTTGACTCTGAGGTTAAAGTAATTACACAAAAAATTTCAAATCTGAAATACTGCACATCTAAATCTGTTTGCCTCCTCTTTGGTGTCTGTACTAAAAGGTGCTGGGAGCTGTATCTTCAAGGCAAGAAACAACAACCTGAAATTTACTCATTTGGATCCATGATGCCAATTTCACCCCTTATCCCCAGTAAGCAAGAGGCACCCAGATCATTTGGGGAAAGAGAGAGAAGTACAACAACAGGTTTTGTAGCCCAGCTGTTCCAAAACTGGATGGGTGCGGGCATGGGACAAAATCTTGCTGACTGATGTGCTACATCAATCAAGCTAATGAAATGCTGACAGCCATATGGAGGTATAGCATGAAGTGGCCAAGAACGACTTCACTTGCAATCACAGGACTTTTCACACCCGGATCTTGTTGAAAATGATGGACTCTGTGTCCCTACAAAATTTCCA